GCCCCCCCGATCCACGAAAGGGGGCGGGGGTACTTCCCCCCTTAGCGATTTTGGCCAAACTACCAGGACCCTTCCGTGGCTTCCTTGGTCCTTCCCGTCCAGGGGAAATCGGGCGGGGGGTAAGGGAGTAGCTTTAGGGGTTCAAGAGGAGCTGATTCCCCAGCGACTTCCAAAATAAAATGCTCCGGAGATGTAGGAAAAGGGAAGGAGGAGTGAAACCTGAGAAAGGTGTTCATCGGAGGCTGGGAACCCCTGGCAATGCAGGGGTATTCTCTGTCATCCCTAGAAAGGCTTTGGAAGAGATGTGGGGGCAGGTTTGGGCTGCAAGGGAGAAGGGGGGCCTGGAGGGGCGAAGCTCCCAGAGAGAGGCCTCCAGGTGGGAGTTCTGAGCCGAGAAGAGCATGCAGGGTGCAATCCTCCCTCCTCCCCACCCCCCAAATGCGTAGGTTGGTTCTATAGCACCGTTCCCATCTTTCTCTGTACTGTGGCAGTCAAGACTCTTGGCAGCCCCCAAAGCATGAAACACCCATGGTAAAAAAGACACCCACACTTCAAGGAGTGGCCATTGGGAATCAGAAACCGAGCAACATACTGTATCCTCTGAAAACCAGAGCAGCAGGTGAAAAGAACCTTCACCAGATGGTGCCCTCTAAGCTGCAACAGCCTTCAAGGAAGCCCCATCTTGACCTGCTTCCAGAAGACCATTAGTGTGGGAGCAAGTGAAACTCCAGGTAGGGCAGTCTTGATGGAGAAGCCTCTTCTCCAGGCTTCAGAGCACCTCACGTGAGGCAGCAGAAGCCATTTCCCTGGGATGTCCATACTGGCCAAGTTGATTCTCCTGGAGGAGATGGTCCTGGAGGGACTTCAGTACCAAGCCATCTAAGACTTGCTGGGTCCAAGGCAGCCCTTTAAGTGACACCCAGGACCCTGATTTACAACCTAATGTTATAACTCAAGGCTCTGCTAGCCTAAGTAATCTCTATCCTAAACTTTCTCCAGATACAGTCTATCCTTCCAAGGCAGTTGGGTCTCCTCTGCCAGAAACCCGCCTTGAAAAGCCAAGAAACAGGAAAAGCATTAGAGATTCATCCATCAATATTTGCTGTTCTGAGCAAGCTGTTAGCATTCCTACAGTACTTAGTTTTATTTTATTTTATTTTATTGTTTGAGCTTGTTTTGACGGGTGGTTCTGCTTGCTGAAACCCAGCCCTGGAGTCTAGATCTTGCCTGCAGTTTGTTTATAAAGGGATAAAAGTCTCTAAAGGGATTAGAGATGACTTTCTTAAGCTGGTGAAGAACTCCATGTTGGTACATTGGAAACAAATGCACGTGAGGTTGTTGGGAACGGTCGTTTTGCAGAAAATGGCAGTCTGTGCACATTCACTTGTGTCCAGTTGTGGATGAGGAATGGGTTTGACGGACTTTTTCTTTTCATATTTAGTTCCCTGATGGTGGGAAGTTGCTAGGAGTTGAGTGTTAATGCGCTTGGCTGTTGCAATAAATATTGCAACCTATTTAGGATTTCCCTTCTCTTTAAAAAATTAAATAAAAAAACATGAGATGAGCCAAATGCTAAACTGGGCATGCTCCCACCTGGTCAATAAAATTTGTTTTTGTTATTTTAGATATCTGTTTGTACGGTAATGAAAAAATAAAGGTCTCTTTGGTATTGTAAATTATGATCTTGTTTGTCTACAACTGATTTTCTATCACACTACTCCAGAGCAGTGTTTCTCAACCTTGGCAACTTGAAGATGTGTGGACTTCAACTCCCATGGAAACTCATCCCCAAATACATTGGTGTCGGACTGATATTATGGGATGGCTTTCTCTTTGCAAGGCACTGCTTGAAGGGATAAATTGTCTACCTTTACATTTTGAGTGAAGTCAATTTACAAAACAGGCAGGATTTCACAATTTCTCTCCCCCCCCCCTCAAAATTCTGCCATAGGAGAGTGGATTTTGTGGGAATTCCTCTCCGGTGGTGAAAAATATGCAGACATTAAATGATTTGTAGACAGAATTTGTCTTCCTTCCTTCTTATGAAGTCTTATTTTTCCCATATATGCTGGAAATGGATTGTATTGGGGTAGGAAGGAATATTCAAAATGAACCCTCACGTTTGTCCAGAAGTGGGCCTATGCCAGAAATATTTTAATATGGAATTCTACAGCTTGCTCAAAGAGGCTTATTCCACAGCTTTGTTGGGGATAGGAGAACATTTTAGCAGGAACTAGGGAAACGTGTTCTTGGTTTTTTACAAAAAGGAAAGGAATATTACTCAGCAGCCACAGGCCAGTGTGTGGGAAGTCCTCTTTCAGGGAATCCAACTGGGCAGCTAGAACCCTCTGATTTGATTGTGTGGCATCAAGTTGGCGTCAACTCTTAGCAACCACGTAGATTGGTTTTCTCCAGGAGGATCTGCCCTCGACCTGGTCCTTTAGGGTTTCCAAGGGTGTCCCCATCACCACAGCGACTGAGTCCACCCCACTTGCTGCTGTTCGACCTCTTCTTCTAGAGCGCTCCAGCCTCCGTAATCTCTCTCCTTGAGTGGCACTTGGGTAAGCAAACGTTCACCCCCAGCAGGCAGGATGGGTGGTCATTGGCATTAAATGCTGTGGAAATTGCTTGATGAGACTGAAAGGTTGGCTGAGCAATTGGCGCTTGAGCGTTCCCGGACTCCCTGTGGGCCAGGGTTTCGCCTCGCTTCCTTCTTTTTGCGTGGTGGGGTTGGGCTTTCGCTCGGATTAGCCATCTGGAAGCAGCAGCCTTGGTGGGCCAGGGAAAGCGAAGCAGGCAGAGCTGAACGTACCTGCTGCTGCAAACAGCGCCTTGGTTCTCTCTGCCGAAATCCCACAAGAAGCTTTTGAAGCATCTGATCCTTCTTCTTGACGGAGCCAGCAGCATTCTCAGAGCCACTGGAAAAGTCGCTAGCAGAGAAGAGGGCCGTGCCATGACCCCGGGGAGGAATTATTTGGGAGCTAAGATGTCTTGCCAAGACGTTGAGCCGGTGTTTGCCCTAGCTGTTTGCATGGCGCGCCGCCAGATTTTCACGGGGAGCCAACAAAATCAGCCGATACCCACGGTGGTGACAATGGATGTGCTGCATTCCAAGAGCGTCGGTGGAGCCACACGAGCAGCCGTGGAAGACAATTATCTGTCTATTTTCAGAAGACGCAGAGATCCAACCGTTCCTAGTCGAGGGCTGGGGCAAAAATAACTGGATTCATAGCAGCAGTTTCTTAATCTAATAATAGTTCTGGGCTGCGGAATGATGAGATTCATGCCGCCGTTGCATAAACCAGCTGGGTCACTCGAGTCACCAGAAAATCAGCTCCAGATGTGGTGATTTCCAGCCTCCACACCCACCGTCCTCTGCCTACAGCTTTTTGCCTGGCAGGCACACAAAGCAAATTGGAGGGGGGGGGAGGGGGGGAAGAGATCACAGAATTTAGCCCAAGGTTTTAGGTGATCTGATCCCCCATGTCTCTTGGACGAAGTGGCAAGCAAGCTTTTCATGCAGGCTGTAAAGGCACGGAGGGCGGGCGCAGGGAGCAGAAAGCAGTGGGCGACTCATTAGCAGTCTCCCTCTAATGAACATTTAAGACTAAAACATGGGTTCAGTGCGAAGGAACAGGCTGCCAAATTCTGTTTTGCAACACCACCTTTTTCCCCACAGAGCCCTCTTTCTGCCTTAAAACCTCTCTGCTTGCCCCGGTATTGCAGGAGCACGTTCCATGTTCTCACAGCTTGAACCAAGTTGATCGGGTAGGTCCAACAGCAAATCCGTTGGCAGGCTCCAACTTCTGACTGACGAAAACGGCTTGCCTGTTAGAAGACTTGCGTATGCTGCCCCGCTGCACATGGGAAAAAGTGCTTGTGACTGGTAGCAACTAAGAATGAAAAGCCAACTGCCTTGGCGCTGGGGAAGGGCTGATCCACCTCCATCAGCCGCTTGCCAAATGGGCAACTCACCAGAGTGCAACTGTTAACTTTCTGTCCCGTGAAAACATTTGCAAATTCTCCCTTTGCCCCCTCTGTTTCCCAGATACGTGTCTCCTCACCCCAGCTAGTCATGTGCAAAATTCACATTTGCTGTCCTTTAGGCCAGCTGAGATTAGCAAGTGGATGCTCAAGGGTCACACACGTTCTTCCCGCTGCTTCCAAGGGGGTCTTACCCTGGGCAACAAACACATGGGGTTAAATTAGAAAAAAGGATTGGAGAGTACAGAGGCCCTTAGAATTACAAAACTGACCATGAAATGGTCAAATCCTTTTAAGGGGGAAGGAGAAGAAAAAACCTTTAGAAATTTCAGGTGAACCTTAACAGTGAGGTGGTTATTGCCCCAAACCCCTTCAACAACAGCCGTATCCATAATGCTCAACTGCGTTATGAGACTATATTCATAGGCTATGTCCAATTGTGATTTAACAGTGTCCCCCTCTGCCACATTAATGATTACAATTAGGTAGCAATTCACTCAAAGCCTTGGGGGCAACGTGAGACCTCAGCTTGCATACCTCTGCACTCGAGGGAACTTATTTGCAAGTTTTAAACAAGGCAGCACAATTTTAGGCGGACGTGCAACTCCTTCCTCCCAGCTCTTGGGGGGCCCAGCTTCACCTTCTGTTCCTCCCGGTGCCTTGCGAGCAGCCCTTCATTTTCCCATTGTGAAATAAAGTGCCGTTGTTCCATTTCTTGCACAATGTCAACAGCTTTTGCCTGCTGTTGGGTCTGCGCATAACTCCGCAAGGGAGCGTCTGTTAAACGGGGGCAGGGGAGAAAACAAGAGAGCCGCAGCCTTGTTTTCCTCCTTCTAGGTAAAAAGCCACATAGGGGATGGCCAAGGCCAATTTTCTTTTTAATCAACACTAAAGTTACAGACTCGTGATAGGGTACGGATGGAATGAAACCACGGTATTTCACAGCCAACAGTGGGGGACAATCAGTGGATGCCTCTTTCTCATCCCTCTGCAAATCCAGAAACACAATCAAGCCTGAAGTTTCATGACGAACTAGAACCCAGCGAAGAGTCAAAAGGAACATTCTAAAAAGGTGTCTTTTGGCGGTGGCTGACAAGAAAGACGGTGGCGCTTTTGAAAAAGGGACGTCACACAAATCACATTTCCTGAATTGCATGATAACACAATTTTTGAAAGTGCAAATTATTTCTGCTTAGGCTGAGCCAAGGACCCCCCCTCCTCCCGCAACCAAAGACACATCAGGGGCCTTGTTCCTTCCTGCAGGCGCTCTTGCTGTGACCTGGCAAGGCCTCTCAAAACAGCAACCAAAGGCATTTGCTCCAGGGCAGATAGGCAGGGTTTTTTGGGGGGGGGTTGGAAATGGCCCAAACCCCACAGCACAGAGCACCGCACAGCACAGCCCTGCCCTGCAGCCAGGAATTCGGTCTTCTCCTGTGGCTTCCTTAACCAGAATGAAGAGCACCGTGTTGATATTGTCCTGGAGGCGTTTCTGAAAAGGGACCCTCAGATCTCCTCCGCGTCTTGCAGAACAGCCAGCCAAAAAAGGGGAAACCACCACACACACAGCAGGTTTTTGTTCTTCTTCTTCCAGGCCCTCTTAGGCCAGACTTGCAAAACTGGGGAGAGGCTCAAGACACCTGAAGAGGAAGCCGTGGGCTCTGGCTCTGAAAGCCTTTAGCCCCCCAATTTCTTCCGGCCAAGTTTCGCCCGCCGAGGCTTTAGTATAGTGTAGTTCATATATTTCGTGTGTTGGTCGGAGAGGAAAGGAATGTAGAAAGCTCGAAACATCCTGGAAGACCTAGAAGAAGACAAGACGGCTTTAAAAACAATGCTTACGCTTCCTCGGAAGCCTGGATGTGACCCCTTAAGGTGCCTCCAAAAGGTTGCCTCCAAATGGCAGTTTAATAGGACAGGGAAGATAATTCAATCGCTGGGGAGAAATCATATGAGCCATATTTCAGTGCAACTGAAACTTAATTCCATCAAATCTTTTTGCTCTGGCTCTGCCCTGGGGACTCATTCTAGCGCACACCTCACCCTACTCTTCGGAAGGCATCCCTCGTCCCACCACACCAAGGCGAAGCCACACAGCCCTTATCAAGATGACAGGCAAATCAGGCAGGTCCACTTTGGCCGGAAGGTGAGATGGCCTTCAGGGGTTTGCCAAGTGTGGGCCAAGCGGCTCGGCCAAGGCTTCAGATGGAGGAGGCTGTTGAGCCTTTGCCCTGGAAGGACTGTGGGGGGAGAAAATTGGGGGGGCAGCGGCACGTGAGAACGCAGGCCCGTGCTCCACAGCCCCAGTCCTGCCTGCCGCAGAATCAGAGCGCTCAGCCAACGCGGAGCCAGTGGGCCCAGGCTAAGCTGCCACCGGGCACCATAATTAGCCGATGGCTCTGAGTGTTCTCTAATTCAATTAGCAGCACCATTTATCGGAGCCAAGTGAGAGTTGCCGCGGCTCTTGCTGACGTCCGCAAGGGACTCGGGCGTCCCAGAGGCTCCTGGTTCAGCAAACAGGAATCCAGCTGGCGGAGCAATCCCGTTTCCCAGAGAAGGAACAGAGCAGCCCTAGCGAGAAGGACAAAGGACCGCCACACTGTGGAGTTGGGAGGAGGGGGGCCACAGCAGAAATGGAAAGCTCAGAACCCCACGCAAGGTGGGTTTCTCACTGCCCTGACACGCTTCATATTAAGTGGGAAACTCTTGACCCGTGTTGGCCATCTGGGCAGCGGCGGCAGCCAGCCTGGCCTTCGGCTTGAACAAGGCCTGCAGGACCTTTGGGCTAGCCTGTTTAGCAGGGGCCTGGCCTTGCGGGTGGGGCGTTTCCAAATGTAGCCAGCCAGCCAGCCGGCCACTTGCAGCAAAGTTGGCCTGGCTTGGGGCCAGCCAGGGACACTCCCACCTCGGCCAAACTCCAGCCCCTGAAAGCAGCCTGCAGCCAGGAGAGCTCCGTTCTCACTCTCTTTCGCTCAGACTTCGGATCAACAGCAGCCGCTTCCAGGGCCTGGGCGGGGGGGCGATTTCCGCCTGTGCTGTCTTTCCCTCTCTGCCGAAGCAGGACCCCCACGAGAGGAAGCCCGGCTTGCTCTGCTGCAGGCTAATCGCGGGAGGGCCTCCCATCAACTCCCAGGGGCAGAAAGCGAGGAAAGGGGTCTTGGGGACTTGGTTCGTGGTTAGGAGCCTAATTCAGACGCCGTCTGTCTCTCTCCCCACCAAGACGTACAAAACAAGGAGGACGTCCATCGGAGCCTGTGTGGAGCGCCATCTCCCACGGTCCTGGTTTAGATATCTTCCTGAATTAGAGCACTGGGGACCTCCTCAGGGGCAGCACCAGGAGAACGAGGTGACCGCAAGCACGCCCAAGCACCTGGAACGTGTTCCTTGCGTTGCATGCCTGTCACACGTGTTCCAGCTGGACTTGTTCACAGCGTCTTTAAATGGGGCTTCAAAGGACAGGCACCAGCTGATAAACGCCATTGGCACCTGCAGAGCAACCGGCGATGCGAAGAGCTGCCTTGCTACAGCTTCCCCTGTGGGGGATTTGACTGGCTGTTCCCGTCCTCTGAAGTGGCAGCCTGTAACGCCTCTCCCACGGCTCTCCCCTTGGGGAAATTCTCACCCTGCCTGCTTCCCATCCACCCACTCATCAAGCAATTACGCTTTCTTTTGTAGAAAAGACGCCATCCTCCAACACCCGCCCTTCGGTGTCTCGCTCTACAATGCGTGGGGAACCCAGACGCTGTGGCTGAGCCCCGGGGAGGAATGCTGCCACCACCCCCATCCGGCTGGGAGTGGAGAGGCAGCAGGGCCCGCTCAAAGCCATCCTCGTCCTCCTCTGCTTGAGACGCCTCTCACATCTGCTCATTTTTTCCAGGACCCCCAACAGCTAGCTTGCAGCTCCTCCGTCACCCCTGGCAAGTGGTGGGGGGGGAGATGACCAAAGACGGCACGCAAGTTGAGGAGGGAGGGGGTGGGGTGAACTTCATGCCCCAAGAAACTCGCTTGGCAGGGCGGGTGGGGGGAGAGAGAAGTCACTGCTGATGCCCTGCAGCCTGATCTTTTGAGGGAGACTAGCCCTTCTTGCCTCAAAGATGGCAACTAGTCTGGTGGGACGCCAACCCAGCCACCCAAGCCGAAATGACCGGCATCCAAGGCGGTCCCCCTCATGAGGAGGTGCAGGATTTCCTGAGCTTACCTTGAACTATCCAAGAAGGGCTTGTAAGCGATAGTGATCCACTCCTCCTTGTTGGCCGCATACCTGGGCTCTCGGGGTGCTTCGTCGGGGCTATCGAGATCCACCAGGTAATGGCATTTGGAAATGTCGAACTGCAGGAGAAAAGGGCGTGTGGCGGAGATGTGAGGACTTCTCAACTTTGGGCTGGCTGCTGCCCCGGACCCTCTTAAGCAAGGTGGGGGCTGCAGGCATCCCCCAGTTCCCCCCAAATATTGAGCAACAAATCCCCTATTTTCAAAGGGTGTGATTTGGGAGATTAATAAGAAAAAAAAAGTTACAGAAGTTCAATCTGCACGATAAACTGAGCATCGAGGAACCAGTCCTCATTGTGTGCAGAAAGAAACGTTCAGGGGTCCAGATTCACTGTAGCCTCCCGGCCCCTGCTCTCAATAGACAGGGAGAGACGGAGGCCGTTAGTCAAACTGCAAGATTTTGCTCTGCCTTTGCAGAGGGGCAGAGCAACGTGGCGCTGCATGAGACCGGCGTAGACTCAAAGAAGGCTCTCCCACTTACATATCTGGAAGGTTCTTCTTTGTTCTGGTCGTTCATGTCGGTGGGAATGATGCGGGTGGCCGCTGGCCCCTTGGCAAATGGTTTTGGTAACTGGCCCCTGAATTCGGAGGCAATGAACTGAAGCTGCCAACTGCGGGGAGAAGGTGGATATGTTTTTACATGACGCTCCTGGGCTTTTTGTGAGCAAGCACAAGATGAAGACAGACAATGGGCTTGATGGTTGGTGGGCAGCACAGGGGGACCCTTGCAATGTGGTGCAAATGGGCAAAGTGGGGCTGCCAAGCTGCACCCAAGGTGCTCCAGCCCCACATGTTCTCCCAGAGGAGGGAGCCCTATACGGAGAAGTAGGAGGCTCTAGGAAGGCACATCTAGCTTGCTTCTGGCAGCAGCAAGGAATCAAGGTGACTCCTGGACTGGAGAATGACCTCCCCTACGTAGAACGTGGGTCCCAGCCCTCCCCACTTTTGCTCTTTTTCAGAAATGCATCTTTTTATGCTTGCCTCTCCCTTTCCACCAACCGATGTCTTCCTGATGGCTTTTAGTTTGTGACTTTTTAAAAGCACTGTTACCAACTCCTCTGAGGGGTTTTTACCCTGATGATCAGCTGACAAATACTTTGAAGGAAGTAAATCATAAATCATTCAAGGGGGAAGGGAAGGAGAAGGAGAAGAGCTGCATTCCTGGGAGAACTGATGGGAGAAAGCCCCGTTGTCAGGAAGGCACACTGCCCAGCCCCGCAAGCTTTTCTCCAGAAACGGCGTCTGAGTGTATGGGCAGAATCATCAAGAAGGAGCCAGCAACAGCGCAACTAAAACTCTGCCTGGTGTTGATGAGTGATAGAGGCAAATCACGGTTTTAAAAAAAGGGGGCGAAGTCCTGCAAAAAGCGAGCCCTTTTCCAGGCGTTGGCTCCTCTTTCACTGAGGCCTTCTGCCTCCCCTGGCTTCATGGCACCGGCAGGGTCCCCTTACTGCTGGCGCGAGGGGTGCCCCGTGTGCCCCCAGGCAGGAACCCTGCTCCTAGTTTGACCAGGAACTTACTTCTCCGGGAGGAGGAAGCTGCTGGGGAAGCGGTGCCACTCCTTCCCGACACAGACGTGGACTGGCCTCCCTTCGGGCACGGTGTGGATTGTGGGATCAGTGGCAATTCTGTGGAACTCTGGATACAGGTCCAGAGGCCCGTGGTAACCTGGGCAGGAAAAAAAGGCGTGAAATGGGAAAAGGCTTGAGAAAAGCCAGCCACTAGCACTTAGGCTGACTGGATGCCCTAACTGGCAACCCTTCGAAATCCAGATGGTGTCTCCCCCAAACAGCTTCTCCAGCCAGATGTGCTGAGGCAGCAAGTCCCGGAATTCCCAAATGGCCCCAGGCTAGCTGGGGAGTTTGGGGAAGTACTGCCACAACATCTGGGGAAGACCAGGCTGTGTGGCCCTAACCCAGGGTCTTGGCAGCTTGAAGATGGATGGACTCCAACTCCCAGAATTCCACAGCCAGCATGCTGGGACCACTGGTCAAGTATGTTGGCTAGGGAATTCTGGGAGTTGAAGTCCCCCCATCTTCAAGTGCCAAGGTTGAAAAACACTGCCCTCACCTATGATAAGCCCCCCAAATTATGGACACAATGTTGCTTAGACGTATTGGAGGATCAGGTTAGGCCTCCCCCCGCTCCCCAAAACATACAGGGCAGTGTTTCTCAACCCTGGCAGTTTGAAGATGGGTAAACCTCAACTTCCAGAATCCCCCCGGCCAGCAAGTTGGGAGTCAAGGTTTAGAAAGCCATGTTAGACAAACTCCTAGTCAATCATCACAATTGGATGATTTATCAGTGCATAAGCCCTCGAGATGCCTCTCCCCAGGAGTCTGGTTGTGACCTGGCAGATCGCTGCAGGGGATAAAGGAGTGGGGAACGGGGAAGAGGACAGAGTCCCTACGAAGCATTTATTGGCTAACTGCTCTGTGGTTAACAAACGGACACCCTCCTTGCCTTGCCAAAACGAACCTCTGAATAAAGCCACCGAACGGGAGAAGGAGAGGAGGCCAAAGACAAGGACTGTGCCCAGCGCCAGCCAGTTGGAAGAGACGGTGTAATGCTCCAGACGATACCGTTGGAATATAAAGTGGTAACATTTCTGGAGGGGGGAAAAAACATGAGTGCCATTTGCATTCAGGAAAGAGTCAGGATAAGCAAAAGTCCAAACGAAGATGTCAGAGGCCAGAAGCCTCAAGGGGCCAATCCAGGGCTGATAAAGACAGCAGGAATGATGCCACCCTCTCGCGTGGTAAGAGGGGAGGAAAGTCTCTTAAGTTTCCAGTTGGCCACCTATGCCTACTTTTGGGATCGGGGGTCCACGGGACATGGTCAAGAGGGCAGACACAACTGCGTGATCGAAGCTTTAAGTGCATTGCAATTAACGAAAGGGGATGCAAAACTGCTGTTGTCTTTATATCAATGAATGAATACCCATCCTGAAAACCAGACACACGTGCTGATTAGGCCAAAGAGTCGGGCAGAAGAGTCGGATCTCCTTGCCATTTCCTAAAAGGTTGGGCAAAGCTGCTTCTGCCCCCGTGGGGCTTCAAAATTCTCATGCCAAGCACTGGTGCCTTGGAGCCGAGGGGTGGGGAGGCGCAGACAGCTCAAGCTCTCGGCTGGAGAGTAAGGCCTGCCCGGAGAGAAACCCTTCGCCCCTCCCCTCTTGCGCGCTGCCCCACCAGGGTGTCTCCCCCCAACGCACCTGGAGGGCCGAGAGCCCCACCGCTCCGCAGAGACAAATCAGGGGGTAGATGGGATAAAGAAACCTCTCCTCTTTGTGGGGCTGGCTGAAGAAAATCAGGATCCAGAGGTACATGGGAGAAAGCGTCAGCCAGTACGGGCGACCCAGGTTTTGGACTGGAAGAAGAACAGACCGGAAGAGAACACGGGCTCAGTCCCAGAAAGAAAGAGGCCGAGCGGGAGGAGAAGCAAGGGGGGCATCTTTAGAAGGCTGGCTACCTGCCAGACTTGGCGAACCTTTTCCTCTGAAGAGGAGAGTCTTCAGCCTAGTAAACGAATGGTTTGTGCAGGGATGGGCCTTTCTGAACCTCCATCGCGAGGAGGCACGTCCTCTCCCTTAAAAGAAAGGAAAGCACCCCGCCTCGCCTGGCCGATGCAGCAGGAAATCATTTATTTAAAAATAATCCCAGTTACTCCAATTTGCAAAGCTGGGGGGGGTGTCGAAAAATGGAATGCTCCTGAAAAGGAAACACTTGTGGTGGGAAAGAAAGCAGATGGCGTAAGCGTTTCATGACCGGCGGGAGCAAAGCGCGCTGCTGACAGGCAAGAGAAGCTGGTGAAGGGAAGAACGAGAGGGGGAACCAGCCCCTTGGCCTCTCCTTCCGGCGCTGGCCTGGCTGGCAGGAGGCCCGAGTCTTTCCCCTGCACATGCCTTCTGCCACCCGTGGAGAGCTGGTGCACTCTAGTGGACCTCTGTGGAAGCAGGATCTATCCTTCCTTGGACCGGACACCCTCTGTCAAATGTGGGCAACTGGCCCCCCTCTGGGAGACCTTCTAATGGTCCCTGGTTGCTGGGATTTCTATCAACCTAGTTTGGACCTTGTTCCTCTTGAGCTGTTCAGAAGGACTCAGAATTACTTGAGACAGCTCGACCAGTGAGGCTGTGACTGATTACAGGGAGTCCCTGTGCTGATAGCCTGCCAGAAAATGCCGAGCAGAGACCCCGTGCTTCCTTCCACACATCCCCCATTCATCCATACCAATGTGTTCCCCAACATGGCCGATCAGAAGAGCACAAAAGACCTCAACTTCGAAACAGCTGCTCTGGGTTTGAAACGGGCTGTTCCGACCCCTCGAAATGGCCTCAAGCTCAAAATGCCTTTGGAACAGACAGGACGGCCTCTTTCCCAAACCAGAAAGTTGAAAAAATTCTTTCGTGCTTGGAAGGCTCACCCAATGGCCAGAGCAGCCCCTTCAAGCTCAAGATGTTTCACCTTTGGAGGCCGCTACAGATCCTGGGCTGGGTCTGGCCAGGGACTCTCGGGAAAAGTCCCCCCTGCCTGCGATGCTCACCACGAAACTTCTGCAAGAGGCTTTCCATCAGGGAGGTCAACGGCAAGGCCAGCAGCGCCAGGATGAAGGCCATGTTGAAGTTCAAGAAGCCGTTTACAAAGTAGAAGGACCAGGGCTCTGTCCCTGCAGGAGGTGAAGGAGAAAGAGGTGAGACGCTTGCTGGAGGATCCGTCTCGGCCAGGAGCTGGGACATCTCTTCAAGGAAAGGAGCAGCGGCTGCTTCTGAGGCAGATGCAAAGCTGAGACATCCACAGTTTGGGCACCAAGAATTCCTCATGCCTTTCAAGACCACGGGGGCCATTCTGCAGGACCCAGTTCAAGCTTTCTCTAGTGAGCATCCTGGTCTCCACAGGCCCTGGCAAGATGCCTCCCTGAAGATCACAGGCCTCTTCTACAGCCATTCCTCAGCATCTCACTTTCCAAGATATAACGCTTCTGAAGCGGGGGGCTCCCTCTCGCTGTAACTAACGGCAGTGAGGATTAGACATGACCTTGTAAGAGCCAGTGCACTGTTAAGAGTAGGGACGCAAAATGTGCTTCCAGGATGCCATGTTGAGGTTCCAGAGAAAATGCAGGGTATACAGGCAAATATGTACATGAGTAAAAATTTTAATCTTGATACCTAATGTGCCTTTCTAAGTGTTAATTATATCTAAATCAGTGTTTCTCAACCTTGACGACTTTAAGATGGGTGGACTTCAACTCCCAGAATTCCCCAGCCACCCTGCTGGCTAGGGAATTCTGGGAGTTGGAGTCCACCCATCTTAAAGTCGTCATGGTTGAGAAACACTGATCTAAACATTCTAATCTAAATCAAGACTTGGAAAGGAGCTGAAATTGAATGCAGCACCCTACCAAATATTCATTTATTGGTAAACTCAGAGAAGTGAGAAAGGAACTACCACAAGATCTCCCAAGAATTCATACTAAACCAGGCCAAGTCCCCTCTCCATTGAGCTGGTGGCTTCATGGAACCAAATATACAGTTTCTTTGGCCACAATACAGAAGTGGTTTCCATTGGATTTTGTTAACTTTCTGGTCTAGCTTAAGAGATTAGATTTCCTAGTGGTGTTCCATCCAAGTATTAACGAAACCCATCCCTGCCTAGCTCCTAAATGCAGACGAGGGTGGCCCAGTGCTGGCCTCGATGGACCCAGAATGTTATTACTATTGCTATTATTACATTATGAGTACCAAAATTATACTTTTTAACCTTCATATTAATATACCACGAATCCTCCTGGCGTCAATTCATCATGTAAGTAGGAAGAACCTCAACCCAGAACAGGAAGGGCGAGCATCCTTTACTGAGCCCCCTCCCAGAGCAAACCCCAAATTCCTCCTTCCAATTCTCCCAATTTAGAATGCTTGGCAGAGGCGCTGAGTGTTCAAGGACTTATAATAGTTGCTTGGGGGGGAGGGAATGTGGCATTGAGCACACGGAGCTATAAAAAGCCCAGGAAAACCAGCACTTGAGTTCCTGCCACAGACACCCCCCCATTGCAAATCTTGCCCCATTCTACTTTCCCCCTCCCCAAGGAGGAAGACAAGGGGGAAGTTCTTGGGTTGGTCTCGGCAGCCCCAGGAAACAGCAGGAAACGCTGCTCCGAGAGAGACAAGCACACCTTTGAACAGGGCGTGTGTTCCCCCCTCCCACCTGGGGGGGGAGGCCTGCTGCACTGCCTCTAAGCCTTTACACCTGAGCAGGATGGAGGTGTCCCTGGGATCCTCAGCAGCCCTCTTGGGCCAGACGGAGCACCGCCACGCGGCTCCCTGCGCAGAGGCTTCTCAAGGGGAGCTTCTGGGCTCAGGCGATGCAGAGGCCAAGTTCTGGGCCTCCTGAGGGACGCTCAGACATGGGGCTATGCCCAGCTCCTTCACCATCGATTATCGCCTAGCCACCCAGCATGAATGAGCCCTCATTCCTCTGGCACGGAGCTTCTGGACATGTCACGGAAATGCCCGGTCTCCCTACTCGGCTTCTGCTTTGCTTTCCTGCCCCTCCCTCAGCCAAAGGCTGGGAATTTGGGGGGTGGGGGCCAAAGAGGCTAATCCACCCTGCGTACAGATGCTGCAGACCTCCTTTAAATGCTGTCATCTGATGGGACCTTGGGGGCGTGGCTTCCGTGCAGCTGCCCCAGCTCTTTGGGCGAGCCTCCCGCCTGAGATTAGAGGGCTCTTAACCCTTTTAGCCTTCCAGACAGCCGGGAAGACCTCGCTCTTCCCCCAAGCACTGAGCTAGGATGGAGACTGAGTCAGGGGGCCCACAGGATGGGTGGTCTAGTGTCTGGCGGGAAGGGTCTGTTCTGTCTTTGCCTTGTGGTTCTGTCGGCTGTGGTGAGCCGCCTGGGATCACTACGTGAGACAGGCAGCCTTATAAGTTCTACAAAGGAATGAATGAATGGCGAGTAGAGGAGGGGGTTTCGTTCAGCTGCAGAGTGCCTGGGAGAGCAGCCATGGAGAGGATGCCAGCCCCCTTTCAGGCAGAAGGCTCTGGGTGGATCTTGGGGGCGGCTTCCCTCAATGGCTTGCTTTTCTTCCTCCAGAACGAGATTCCCAGATGGTCCCCCTCCAGAACCTGCCTAGCTCGTGGGCAGAATCCTGGGAGACTCCCACAGAGGGCCTGGAGGAAGGGATGGGAGGCTAGAACAATGAAAGGAGAAAGCACGCCTGTGATACATCGTCTGCTGGGACAGGGCAAAAGTTCGGAGAGGCGGCATCAAGATGCCAGCTGTCTGGGAATTCAGGGTCCTGGCTGTGGAAGTCAAGAACGGCTCAACAAATCTGAAACGAGCTTCCTCTAGGGCACTGGTGGCGAACCTATGACTCACGTATCAAAGGTGACGTTTTGGGTGACACACCAGCGTTCACCAACACCCAAAAACTATTCTCCCTGTCTGAGTTACCAAAGAAACTGAGTTTGTTTTACTCGTATTTCATTTTTGTGATGATTTGACATTTCTTTATCTAATACGTAGCACCACGCAGGATTGGACTGTACTTTTTAAAAATAAATGAATATGTAAAGAATGGGTTTGTTCGGGGAGGGTGACACACCAGCAGAGTCAAGTTAGGCATTTTCCAAATTTTTGACATGCCCAAAAGGTTCCCCATCACTGCTCTGGGACTACAACCACCTTGTTCGGCTGACCCAATTTATCCCCAAAGAAGGCCCAGGAGCCCCCCCCACCCCCAATATGGCTCTTTGACCTCCAGAAAATAAATGGAGCATCCCCAGCATTGCTGAGAGTTGTGCTCCTTCCAGGAGACTTCCACCACAGCATCTCTGAAATGAAGCCTGGTGTCAGAGCCTAGTGACTGGGGAGGGAGAAGGAAAAAAACGACTGTATGACCAGTCCCCCACCAGCCCAGAACGTTTCCATGTGCCCTGCAGGTGGACTCACCATAAAGGTCTGGTCCGTGTGGGGTGAAGACATTATACAGGATGATGTTGAGAGGCGCTATCACCAGCTTTCCATAGTGGTAGCTGTCAATGGCCACCAGGGGCACCTTCATTGAAAAACAAACCACAGTTTAGAACAGTGTTTCTCAACCTGGGGAACTTGAAGATGTGTGGACTTCAACTCCCAGAATTCCCCAGCCAGCCCTTATGCTGCTGGCCAGATCCAGGGGTCTGCTAGGCATGCCCTAGATTACAGCATTACGACCCTTGTTTTGGGGGAGGGAACTCCACAGGGCGGCACCACGTTCAGGAGCAGCCCCTTCATTCAGCTTGATGGGAGATTCTGCTCTGATGTAATGGTCTGTGGGAATGACCTTGGGAGACAAGACAGAGAGCCACAGACTGGACAACGGTCAGACAAGTGGCAGTGGAGTCCGTGGAAGGAACGGGGGTGTGGCAAACATCTCAGAAAGGACCTCTCTAGTTTCTTGGACTGTAAAGTCGAGAGGGGAGAGATGGACTTTCAGACTCGCAAGATTCTGTCAATGGAACCTTAGAATAAAGTTGGAGCTAGTACTTCTGGGTGTGCTTCTTGTCCGGACTACCTCGAAGGACTGACATCCTAGCTTTGACTAGAAGCTTGCAGGCAAAGGAATGGCCAGTCTGTTCAAAAGATGAGGGTATGGCTTTCATTCATGCCCTTCTCGGTACCGCAGGGTCATCGGAGATGGTACTAAAATGCCTGAAGCTAGGAAATTCCCTGGCCTACAGTGCCCGCTCCTCTGAAGTTCTCCTTCCCAATCCTTCCCATCTTTCATGCTCCAACACCAAGTTTGCTCTGCTCTTCTGGGGCACTCAACAAATTCCTTCCCCAATTTCCATCCTCTTGAACTTTCTTTCGCTCCTGCTAAGTTTTCAGTGAGAGAAGCCAACAGAAAGAATCTTCTGTCTGCTGAGAAACCCGTGGAGAACCTCTGGGAATTTCAGGCACGGCTTCCATGCCTGGGGAGGAAAGAGCAGAGGAGGAGGAGCCCGCAAAGGGGGGGAAGGGCACATCGTAAGGAGCCCCCTTTGGAAAGGACCGGGCCCTCTTTCCTTCTCGCCCCACACCTGCCGCTCCACCGCCACTTTGAAGACTCACCAGAAACACCAGCAGAGCCACCAACGACCACTGCAGGAAACTCTTCCACCGTCTTTTCAGGACCAGCAAGTCAAAGGCAATGGGAAGTCTGCCCAAAGGAGGACGGGGGGGGGAGGCATTAGTGAACGGGCGGGAAATTGTTTAGCTCAGTCGGCACTCTGAAGCTTAAGAGCAGGTCACAGCCTTCTCATGGAAGGCCTGCCACAACAGGCGTGCTTGGCCACAGACATCCATTTCACCAGAAGGCACATCATCCGAGTGGCTGCTCCTTGTCCTTCTCCCGCCCTCCCCAGAAGTTCTCCACCCCCCAGATTCTCTGCCATTTGCCCTAGGAAGTGAACAGACTGTTAAACCAAGCCCTCCATGTTTAATGTCCAAGAATACCTCTCAGGTCTCCAGGGGACCAAGAAGCATTGTTCTAAACAAAGATGATACGGGAGGCCGGCTGAGTTTCCATTAAATTGTTATAAAATGAAAAAAAATGGAGGTGAGGAGCCAGGAGCCGAACAGGTGCCAAGCCAACTGTCTCTGGCCAGGCTGCCCCTGTTTTAAGCAAATGCCTTGAGGTGGTTTTCCCTGCTCCTCAACCAAACGTTGACCTCTCTGCTTAGGCAAGGATAAACACAGATGGATGGTGCTTGGGAAATCTCCAAACCCAGTTCCCAAATGACCCTCTGGAGACTGCTGTTCACTGCCGGCCACCCTGAACGCTTCCAGCACCCCTCCTTCTGGCTCCCACTTACCCAAGCGCTGCGCTGAAAGGCCAACCCACGATGGCGCCTGCGGCCACGCCCAGCACTGCCAAAGACATTCTGTCCATGTACCACCCTGTCATGGCTACGGTAGTGCAATACATGCAGAAGCTGCTGGGGAGGAAGGCTGAAAAGCAGAAGAGGCCAAACAGAGGTCAGCATCCAGAAACCAGGGGTGACCACCTGCACATCTGCCACAACAGGATACGGCCATCTCAGGATGGAGCCTGGGGCATTCCAAGAACAGGCAACCAAAAAGAGGGATTTTACTCAGTGCACCGATTAGGGCATGAAAAGAATGGGCTGCGAGAATTAGGAGTGAATCTTTTTCCTCCTGAGACTGCAGAAAATCAGCGGCAGTAAGAATAGATAATACTGGTCTGTGTTGTTCTGCTTAATTTTACAGAAATTACTTTGAAATTCTACGTGGAGTTACACAACAAGCAACTTATATTTGATAATAGTAATTTGTTTCTGTCAGGATGTAATTCCTGTCCTGTCTTCCTAGAGCAGTGTTTCTCAACCTTGGCAACTTGAAGCTGTGTGGACTTCAACTCCCAGAATTCCCCA